ACTTACCCACTGGCCCACGCGGCAGCGCCAGCCCACAATGCAGGACTCGAGCCAGGAGTGGGATCGAATGTGAGCATCTCGAAGCACTGTGCACCGCCGGATGCACACGCCATCCTCCACCACCACACCAGGACCCAGGCTCACGTTGGGGCCGATGCTACAGTTCTGGCCGATGCGGGCACTTGGGTCCTAAGGACAGTGGGGAAGATACGAGTGAGGCATTCATCTCCCAAGCCTGAGAAGGGGCATTTATGATGGGCCGGGTGGGGGCCTCACCACCAGCACGTTGCCCACAATGCCAGGGCCTGAGCATAGTTGCTCAGGCTGCTTCTGTCGCAGGGACTGTAGGAAGAGGCACATGCCGGTGAGGAAATCCTTGGGCTGCCCTATGTCCATCCAGAAGCCTGTTGGGAGGAAATGCATCAGGGGGCTCAGCCCAGCCACACCACACCCCTACCCTGTGGCCTCCCTGCCTCACCCTGCAGCTCCATGGCATACAGCTGCCCCTCCTTGGCCATGACAGGGAAGATCTCCTTCTCAATGGACGTAGGCTGCAGCTGTGGGAGTGGGCAGCTTGTGAGCAGGGTCGTGGTGGTAGGGGCCTGCCCTATCCCAGCCCACCCCGCAGCTGGCTTCTACACACCTGGATGCGCTGCAGCACTGCAGGGTTCAGGATGTACATTCCTGCGTTGATCTTGTTGGACACAAACACCTGTGGCTTCTCCACGAACCGGTGAATGCGGCCTGTGTCAGCCTCACATACCACCACACCATACTTAGAGGGTTCCTCCACTTTGGTCACCTGAGTGGAGGGGGAAACCTCAGGCCCAGTCCAGGTGTGTCTGAGCCTTGATAATGCATACTGTCCTAAATCTAAGGCTGTGCCCCAATGCTTAAAGACACATACTGTACAGCTTTGCACCCACAACACAAGGGGATGGTTAAAGGCTGGGCAGCAGGAGAGGCTGGGCATGGGGGACAAGTGTCTCAAGAGAAGAAACACCTGGTCCCTTACCAGGATGGAGCCCTCCTGGCCGTGGTGCCGGTGGAACTGCACCATGGCTTGGAAAGGGAAATCGCAGATCACATCACTGTTGAGGACGAAGAAAGGGTCCGCAGTCTCAGAGAGCAGGTCACGGGCAAGTGCCAGGGGCCCAGCTAGGAGAGAAGTACAGGTCACCATCTTCCCCGGGGGGTCCGGGGGTGGACGGACAACTGAGCCCCTGGATCCAGGCTCAGCAGACCCCATCCAGGCTGGGTCTTACCCCTTCCCAGGCCCTAAACCCTACCCACAAGGCACTTTTACTGACCTGTCCCCAGAGGCTCTTCTTCATGGGACATGGAGATTCGAATTCCCAGCTGTAAGGGAGAAGCCGCCTGTCAGGTGCCTCCCACCAGGGTGGGTGGTTGCGCGGGGATCGAAGAAAAAGGTCAAAAGTCCGAGCCTCACCCTCTGTTCCTGCGCCTTCATTTCCTTCTCCAGCACCTGAGACATGTAGCTCACGGCCAGAATCACGTGGTCCACGCCTGCCTGTTGTACAAAACAGCGCCGGCCGATAGAAGGGCTCAGCTCAGCTGGAAAGTACGGGCGTCCGCGACCCCCAAGTGCTAGCCATCCCTCGTCCTGCCAGGTCCCACCGCGACACCGACCCCGGGTCTTACCGCGGCCAGCGCCTCCACTTGGTGCAGCAAGATGGGCTTATTGCAGAAATCCACCAATGGCTTCGGGATGCTCAGCGTCAGCGGCCGCAGACGCGTCCCATAGCCGCCCACCAAGATCAGTGCCTTCATCGCGCCTGCGGGCGGCCAGAGAGTGAGTCCCGGGCTCCGCGGCCCGGCCCGCCCGGCCGAGCCCTGCCGCGCACTCCCGCCGCCGTGTCCGGCCCCGCGCCCTTCGCCTGCCAGACTGACCCACTCTGGCTCTGCCTTGGCCGCGGAGTCCGCCGTGACGCCGGCCCGGGGCTGCACACAGCAGGACGCGACGCTAGGCGAGGACGGCTAGCCTCGAACTCAGGCCGGACCTAGGCGGGCGGTGACGGGAGCCCGAGCCGGCCAATCGGCTGCCGTTGACGTGGCACGGACGCCGGCGTCGGAGCGCTGAGGCGCGGCTCTCCGGCAGACGTAGCCAATAAGAGCCCGAGCGCGCCCGGCTGCCATGGGGACCGGGCTCGGGGCCCGCGGGTCAGCTAACCATTGGCGGATCCAAAGGCGGAACTGGCGCCAAGGGCGAGGCTTCCTTCCCGACGGGTGCCGGGTCCGCCGCCGCACGGCCGCTTCCGGCCCCGCCCCGGGACGGCGGCTCGCGGGGTACGGCGGAGGGATGGGAGCGGCGGTCGGGCTGGGCCTGTCCTGGAAGCCGCGGGACAGCAAAGACGCGCACACACCTTAGTTTCTAGCGGCTTTATTTTGACATACACGACCTCAGACACAAGCGGGGCGGGCAGCGCTAGGTGTACAGAAAGGGGCGACCCGGCCCAAGGCCCGAGCACCCCTCCCCGGCACGCAAGGTCCCGAGGAGACGCCGCTGGCCCAGCCGCGGCCGAAGCCGAGAGTGGAAGGGGGCGCAGGCCTCGGGCAGCGTGGGCAGGTTTAGGCGGCTTCCGGCAAAGTAGAGCAGAGAGCGATTCCTAGAGGCGAGGCCTCACAGTTCCCCGAGAAGCAAAGGAACCAGGTCCTTCCCAGGGTGCTCCAATTTTTTTCATTAAAACATTTTTTTTAAATCGGCAAAAACAAAACCAAATTGAACAGCTTAAAGTTCCAAGCAATCTGTATCTAGGGGGCGTGCACGTGGCCAGATGTGCGTGAGTGAGCAGCGTCTAAAGAACTAGCCCAGGCCTTTGGCCCCTGGGGAAACCCCCACACCCACTGCACAGGCCCCAATGTGAGGGAGGGGTGGGGTCCCTGGCAAGTTACTACACTGGTCCCCTTCCTCATTAAGCACCGCCGGTCCCACTCCTCCCCACCCCCCGGGGGCTGGTGTCTACTTGGCCCAGGGAAGCACTAGGGAGGGGGGGTCACATGAGCACCCCAACCACTGATCCCGCGTTGCACTTTGGTCCCAAGTTGGGGTTTGGGAAGGCAGGGCCTGGCAGGGACAGGGCTCTCTGACAAGGAGCAGGCAGGAGGCGTAGAGGCAGAGAGTGCATGTGCACACACATGCCCACCACCCACCACCCACCAGAGCTGGGTCTCCCAAGTGTCAAAAGTGCTGAAAAGAGGGATCCTGCCCTGATGGAGCAGCAGCAAATCCCAGGCCCTTCTGCTCTTTTTAGTGCCAGGAAAACGCTGAAGATAGTGGGTATCGTCTCTCTCACTATGAAGAGCAGAACGGGGCAGCATGTACTCCCAAAATACAGGAACTCAGGAGGCACAACACATCCCCAGGCTGGAGAGGTTCAACTAAAGGTCCCAAGTGGCCCCTGACTCTTTGTCTTAGCCTCTTCCCTGCCAGGAAATGCCAGTCCAAACGAATGAGCTACTACCCCCCTGAAGCCACAGAATGGTACAGGAAAGATGGTCGTTACTGACCAGAAACAGGCAAGCTGTCCCTCCCAGCCCCAAGGAATGGGAACCTGCCCACTACTGGCACCAGGATCGGAGGGCTGAGAGAGACGGGATCCATCAAGGAGCCCATTTAAAATGTGTGAAGCTGCATCTCTAAGGAATCGGAAAGTAGTCCACCACTTCCAAGGCCTCTTAGGCTGGCAGGCTTACCTTTAATGCCCAAACAAGGACACACCCAAAGCGACAATGACAGTGGCCCTAGGCTCAGAGGGGAGGGCACTAACCTTGGCAATGGCTAGGTGAGTGCAGTGTCACCTCCTGGCCACATGTTCGAGGTGGCAGGTCTCTGTGCCATTAAGGGCTGGCGGCAAAAATGATTACAAACCACCAGAAAGATCACCCCTTGGGCCCTCACTGTACCACCGTCAGCGTGAAGCAGGGCTACACGCTGCCAGGCCCATAGAGAAGGTGCTGGGCCATCTGGGAAACACCTCCTACAATTCATTTGCTACCAATTCTTTGTAAAAAGGTAGCATCTGCTGACAACAGGCACAGGGCAAAAGCTCACCACAGAAATGGCATGACAGAAATCAATTATTACTAATGAACAAGGCTACAGCCCAGGAAAAAGATCCCAAGAGACAAGGGCTGGCTGAGAGATGGACAAATGGACAGACTGATGGATCCCAGGACTGATAAGACGAAACTCATTAGCAGAATCTGGGCACCTGCACCCAAGGCCCAAACAATGTCTCCATGAACAGACAAGCTTCAAGCTCTCCCTCACAAGACTGGAGAGCTCCTCACAATGGGTTGCTGCCTTGAGCTTAGCCTGGAGAAAGGTGACACCCTGAGCGGACCACAGCCCTTGAGCCCTGGGAAGAGCAGCCCATCCAGAGGCAGCCCAGCTGCCCAAGCTAGAGGAAGAAGACTCCCACCCACAGCACAAGAACTGCAAATACCATCTAGGCCAGAGCCACCAGAGGCCCTGAGGCCTGCTGGGACACCGACTCGCCTTGGCAAATAGAGCAGGGACCCCCTTCAATGGGGCAAGAAGGGGTGGCCTCCTCAGGCAAGGGATCTCAGTAAGAAAGGCTGGCTGGGGTGTGCAGGCAGGAAGAGGAGCGGGTTCAAGTGCCAAAGAGTGCCTGGGGATCCCGGGGCCTGCCCTCTGTCATAAGCTGGCTTCAGCCCAGCTTCATGAATCTAGCCTCATGCCAAGTCAGAACCGAGAAGGACGGGTCCAGCCATGTGCAATTGGCCCTGTGCTACCCGGGGGGTACGTGTTAAAGAGCTGGTTGATGCCCATGCCACCAGACTAGGAAGTCCCCCAATGGATGGGCACCCAATCCTCTACTGGTGAGGAACGAGGGATGAGTGAGCACAGAAGGGCCCTGTACCAGCCCACAGCTTCACCCTAAGACCAGCAAGGCCCTGCAGCCACAGATGCCAAAGACCTAGGCAAGAGAAACCAATGTCCAAGGGCACCCCATCCCTGCTGCCAAGCCCACCCACCAGGGGCACCTCTTCCTTTCTAAGTCCGCCTGGACACAGCGGTCAGAGCCGTAGAGCCTGGCTGAGGGGATGCGTGTTGTGCCCTCCTTCGCTTTATATATATGGATTCCAGGCTACAGCTAAAAACATTTCTTTTAGTTTACACCAAAGAGAAATATAACCCTTTAAAAGCAAGTCTGTGTGTCCTCACGGCGAGTTCAGTCAGAGCAATGGTCCCTGCCTGCGGGTGGAGAGGAAGAGGTTCTGGGGGCCCAGGGCCGGGCCTACTGGTTCTCGTCCCGCATCTGTTCCATGATGCCGATGAGGTTCTCTAGGCCGAACACATAGCCTCGGTCCGGCCCGTCATGCACGGTGGGGTCATCCCGGAAGCCCTTGAACGTGCTGTGTGCAAAGTCGATCATGCGGACATCCACCTTGGGTGGAGAGGAGGGGCTGGCCTCAGGGCTGGTGCTACTGGGGCTGGTGCTGGGGCCAGAGGGTGGCGCCCCCTCAGGGAGCCCTGTATCCAGGTGCTTGAGACGCATCTCGGCCCGGCGGTCCAGGAAGGACTCTGCCCGGCACTCCCTGCCATCGTAGATGACAAGCAGGGAGCTGGAGTAGAAGCGGTAGGAGGCCTGCCGCTCCAGCACAGCTTTCAGGCCCCGCAGTTTGCTCAGGATGGGCTCAAAAAGGTCACGCCTCAGGTCCAGGCCGTTGTGCAGGTACTGATAGAGGGCGTTGCGGAAGCCTTCAATGGAGAGCCCACGGCCATAGTACTTGTTCCTGCAGAGGTAATGCCCTGTGTCCAGCTGGTACACCTGAAAGCCCAGGAGACAGAGCGGGTGAGCACCAAGGAGGTCTGGTGACCTTCGAGTGCCCTGGGCAGGCATTGTCCGGAAAGTACTCCTGACCAGCTGGACTCGTCCCAGTGTCAAGGCAACAGGCTCTCACAGAGGCTCTGGATCTGGAGTCCAGACTAAGGTCACCAGGTAAGGCCTAGAGGGCTCAAGGAACACACCTATAAGGATGCACTTGGCACCCTGTGGGGGACCCACCCTCTCGGAGGAGATTTTGGACCACTGTGGGCCCAGAGGACACCTGGCAGAGGGAGCAGGCAGGTACACGGGCCACCCAAAACACGCGGGCAGCAGCAGCAAGGCTCTGGCCAGGGGCAACTCACCTGCATGCCACAGACCCTGACACCCAGCGTAGCTGACGTACTCTGCTCGCACTTCCTCATCTGCCGGGCCGCCTTCTCCGCAGATGCGTCATCCCCGTGCTGCCGGGTGCCCATCTTCAGGTCCAGCACGCAGGGGTACTTGAAGTGGTGCACCACGTTCTCAAGCAAGAGGAACTCTGGGCCGTGGTCAAGGACAGTAACAGCCACACTCACTGTCAGCCCCAGCCAGGAAACCACGACCAAGTTTTTCTACAAAAGGGGGCATTTCTCTTCTAATGTGATCTGTATTCGCCTCACAAACTCTCAAATGTAGATGTCACACCACTGGCTGACTCATTCTTTTCAAAAATTTTTTATTGTAGCAAAATATACATAACATAAAATGTACCATTTTCACTATGTTTAACTGTACAGTTGAGTGGCATTAGTACATTCATACTACTGTGCACATCATCATCCATCTCCAGAACTTTCTCATCGTCCCAAACAAAAACTAGAAACTGTACCCACCTCACACTATCTCCCATCCTTCCTCACGCCCCCGCCCCCAGTAACTACCTTTCTAGTTTCTGTCTCTATGAATAGGACTATTCTAGACACTTCATATTTGTCCTTTTGTGGCTGCCTGTTTCTCTTAGCAAAATGTTTTCAAGTTTTATCCAATTTGTATGTAGCATGTGACAAAATTTCATTCCTTTTTATGGCTGAAAAATTTTCCGTGGTGTATATATATACCAAATCTGCTGATGCTATCATTTTTATTTTATTCTATTTTATTCTGTCCTGTAGGCATACACAAACTAAAGAAGATCTGGCAGATTTGCATACATCCCTGGCACCATCACTAAACCGAGGCCCTACTCAAGCCGTACCCCACCCAGGCCTAAAAGAAATAAGGCGCCTTTGCAGCACTACTACAAACATGAGAAATCAAGTTTAAATCCATCTTAGAAAAAGGTGGATTTAAAATTTCTATCCTTTTTCTGACTAACCTTCAAACCAGTGACTACATATTTAAACTTATCCCTTGGTATTTCTAGAACCTTCTGCTTAAAATGCCTCAATGGTCCTGGCTGGCTGGATGGCATTTATACCCATGTCCTCATTTACATCTACTGTCTGCACCCATCCTGGATTAAGGTATAGGCTTGTCACATCTGTCAAAAGTCATCAGGGCCCATAGCCTGGACCTCAATTTCATACTGGGGGACCAGGAAGCAATCACATGATCTTGGACGGTAAGATACTTGGCATCACTTGACGATGCATATATTAGCATCGCCTAATTCTTTAAAGAGTAACTTACAGAAAACCATTAAATTGGCCTTTAATTAATTTCATCACCTGCTATAACCTATAAACAAGTGGCAATAAAACATAAAAAGGGCTGCAGAAACACCTCACAGGGTGGGAGAACATGGGCTCTTGAATCCTGCTGAATCCCAGGCCCACTCACGGGCCTGGGCACAGCACCTAACCCCCCTGTGCTCCCATCTCCTCATCTATAAATGGGCTTCGTCAACACTTTCTCCCTCAAGAGACTGTTCTGAAAACTGAGTAAACAGAGAGGGCTCAGCACATGTCCCCTCAGTTTCTCAGTATTAGTTATTCACAGTCTACTGCTTCAAACACCAAACAATCATCAGAATTCCCATTTTATAATACTTTTCTTTACTTTTACCATCTTAAAGACTATTATACGTTGTTTAGGTATGGTGATTATCTTAGACAAGAAAAACCCCACATATCACTTTGTAATAATTACCTTTTGGGAAGGGAAAAATATATGTGTGCACACGCACACACACACACCCAGATCCCTGATTCTAGACATGCACTGATAAATATAGTAACCACTAGGAACATGTGGCAATTTAAATTTAAATAAATGTAAAATTCTGTAACTCAGTCACAGCAAGCACGTTTCAGTTACTCAGTGTGGCCAGTGGCTACCATGCTAAACACAGATACACATACCTCCACTCTCCCAGAAGGTTCTACCAGACAGCACCCTTCTGAACTGCCAAGTTTAAGCTTCAGGCTTACCAGTCCCGAAAGGCAGAAAAAACCGTATCCATAAAACAAGGAAGGACAAAGAGCCTATGAAAAAGGGAGATGAGAGCAGGAGGGGCTCCTGGACAGAGAGGGTCTCGGCCATGGTGCTAGAAGGTGTCCTGACACAGGACCAACCCACGGTCCCAGCAGGGGGCACTGCTGAAGGTGTAGTAACAAGGATACTGTAGAGCTTTCGGTCCTTGGACTCGGAGCGCATGCGGCTCAGCTGCTGCTTATGACAGCGCAGGCTCCAGGGATTATGGCTGATCTTCTCAGAACTCAGACCGCTGTTGCCGTCCAGCATCTGGAAAGGGACGTCTGAGTGGCTGTGGAGCTCCACCTTTGGACTCTTTGCCTCCTGGGAGCTAAGAAGGAAGAACAGGACACACTGCTGAGGGGCTCAGACAAGTCACCCTCCGGGGTCTCGGTGCACAGGGTGAAGGAGGCCTCCATCAGGTCTAATCTGCCACCCACGGCCCCTGCTGACAGGTGGCACAGGGGCTCCGGATGCATGAGCACATAAAAGTGAGTAATAAGTAGTATTTATACTTGTGTCTCTGAAAACTGTCTCAAAAATAATTCTTGGCATCAAATTATGTGATGAAGACACCACTCCAGATGCATCAGGAAGGCTATTATAAAAATCAACTGGAACAAGTGTTGTAGAGGATGTGGACAGACTGGAACCCCCACACACTGCTGGAGGGAATGCAAAATGGTGCAGCCACTGTTGAAAGTCTGCTGGTTCCTCAAAACGTTAAACGTAGAATTATCCAATGATCCAGCCATTCCACTCCTAGGTCTGTACCCAAAAGAACTGAAAACAGGAACTCAAACAGAAACCTGACACTCTGTTCACAGCAGCATTACAATAAACAAGAGGTGGAAACAACCCAAGTGCCCATCAAAGCATGAATAGAGAAACAAAACATGCCATACCCTACAGTGGAGTAGCGTTCGGCAGTAAAAGGGGAGGGAATTCTGACACAGGCTACAACATAGATGAGCCCTGAAAACATCTTGCTAAGTGCAATAAGCCAGACACAAAAGGAGAAATGCTGTAGGGTTCCACTCGTCTGAGGTAACTGCACATTCACAGAAACAGAAAATAGAACGGTGGCTGGCCGGGCCTGGGGGGGAGGGGAACGGAGAATTATCTAACAGGGATGGGGCTGCTGCTGGAGATGAAAAGCAGCTCTGGCAATGGGCAGTAGCGAGGGCCGCACGACAGTGTGCGTGTGTTTAATACAACTCAACTATACACCGAGAAAAGGCGAAAATGATAAATTGACAAGTGTACTTTACACTTTTAAAAAATACAAAAATTGATGAATGTAGAGTTTTACACTTAATAAATAGAGGGTGGAGCATGGGACGCCACTGTCAAGAACATGAGTAACTATCCTGTTTGTGTCCACATCTACAACCAAATTTTTAATAAGACTCAAAGAAAGCATCTGCGGACACTGTCCGTGGGCCTGCGCAGCGGGTGCCCGGGAAGCGGCAGAGCAAGTGTGCAGCTCAGAGCAGAGGCGGAGCACGGCAGCTCCGGACGGATGCCACTGTCCTCTCCTGCCACGGTGGGTGCGCTAAGTCACACAGAGCCGAGCTAACCACCAGGTCTAGCGTGTACTGGAAATGCGGGCGCTCCCGCCCACAGTGGCGGGCAGGCTGGGCGAAGGGGCTGAGAGACACAGGCAGACCTTCCCAGTCCCCCTGACTGGAAGCAGAGCGGACGCCGGTGCCTCTCGGTGTGACAGAACTCTCATGTTCTTCTGGGGACGGCATGGCTGAGGCTATTCATGGACACCTTTTTTGTGATCCCCTTTAAGAAACAACAAGGTTGGGACGGCTCGGGAGCTCAGTCACTGAAGCGTCTGCCTTCGGCTCGGGTCACGATCCCAGGGGCCTGGGATCGAGTCCCGCATCGGGCTCTCTGCTCCGCGGACTCCCTGCTTCTCCCTCTGCCTTTGCCTGCCGCTCCCCCTGCTCTGCTCTCTTTCTCTCCCTCTCTCTCTCTGACAAATAAATAAAATCTTAAAAAAGAAAAGAAAAGAAACAACAAGGTTTACTAATCTGCCAAGTAAGCCCAGATAAGTTCTCTGTGCCTGCCTGGGGAACCCGTGCCCCTTGGCATCACCCTTGGTGTTGCAGCTCTGGCCCTGGTGAAGAAGCAAGCTCCACTCCGGGGGGTAACTCAGAGCCTCTGCAAATAGGCCAAACAGAGGTCAGGGCCTGCAGACAGAGCTGTCACTTTCAGAGCACAGCCCTGAACTCGGACACAGGCAGACTTAGATATTATTCTATGTACACTGGCTTTTCATCAGATGATTCACGAAGCAACTTCTGTACCTCTGGAGAACAAAAGAAAGCCCACTCTAAAGAGCTCTTGAGAGAAAGGCATTAATGCCAGCTACGGGCTGGAGGACTTGGGGAACATTCCTTGTCACTAAGCTTCAGTCCCACCCTCATCAGTGAAGAGGAAGCCCCTTGGGGAATGACAAGGAAGCCCTGAAGAAGTGCTTCCACAGACTGGAGTCTGTTTTCCACAAGAAGACTTAACACCTGGAGACCCTCCTTACTACGAAATGGGTATTTCTCTCCTTGCATCAGGGATGCTGATCTGGCTAGAGAGGGCCCCTGATTGAGGACACATCACACACTCAGCCAGCGTCTCATGGGGTTCTGTGCTCCTCGATGTGCGTCCTCTTCCATCGACGGGGGCAAGGAGAGCTGGGAGGCCCTCAGCTCACAGCTTCAGCAGCCAGGCTGAGCAGCATGTGTTGCTGAACTGATCTGACGTTAGAGATAAGCTATGTGCTGCCACATCTAAGAGAAGTCCCAAATCCAACTTTTGAGTCACAGATCTTATTCACTGAAACTTATTTTTGAGTGAAATAATATACTACTTTAAAAAAAATTTTTTTTTCTTAAGTAATCTCTATACCCAACATGGGGCTCAAACTCAACAATCATGAGATCAAGAGTCACATACTCCACCGACTAAGCCAGCTAAGTGCCCCGAAATTAAATATAAATTTAATCATACAATTTTTATTTCACTTTGTTCCAGGAAGCTCACATTACTTTTAATTTTTTTAATAATTCAGTGGGTTTTTAAAAAATATATATTTACAAGGTTATAAAATATCACCACTATCTAATTTTTAGGACATTCCATGACCCCCAAAACAATCACCATTAGCAGTCACTTCCTATCCTCCTCTCCCCGCCAGTCCCTGGCACCCAATAACCTGGCTTACTGTCTCATGCGTTTGCCTATTCTGAACATTTTCTATAAATGGAATCACACAATATGTGGTTTTTTGTGACTGACTTCTTTCACTTAGCAAAGGTTTTTGAGGTTCATTCCCACTGTGGCTCATATGAGTGTGCTATTCCTTTTTATCCCTGAATAATATTCAGCCTTTATTCATCCATTCATCAGCTGATGGACACTTAGGTTACTTTCATTGTTTGGCTGTTAGGAATAATCTTACTATGAACATTTCTTTGCAAGTTTTGTGTCTGAATGTATTTTTTCAGTTCTCTTGGTATAGGGTGCTATTCCCAGGAGTGGAATTGATGGGTTTAACTTTCTAAGGAACTGCCAAATAACTGTTTTCCACGGTGGCTGCACTATTTTACATTCCCATCAGCAATTTAAGAGGGTTCCAACTTCTCTACATCTTCACCCTCAACACTTTTAATGCCTGTCCTCTTGATGACAGCCATCCTAGGAGAGTTCACATTTTCTGCATAACATATCAAGAAACATAATTCTTTGTAAACTATTTTCCTAATCTACAAGAAAAATCATTTCCAATGGAATAAACTAAATTTTAGCTGCAGGGAAAGGGTTAAGAGCTGATCTCAGAGTCTCAGAGAGGTCAAAGAAGCTCTTCCAGAACCCTTAAAGAACACCAGTGCGGTCTCTGACCGCCCTTGGGCAGTCCCACAGGTCAGAAAGCAGACGCAACCTCACTACGGACCAAGGCATTTCAACTCATGTGTGAGACAGAACAAAGCTGGAGCACACAGAGCCACGGAGAGTCCTTGCTTCCAAAGGGCTGAGAGACCTTCTCTCTCTTGACCAGCTCCATCCATCCTCAGAGGGTGGCATCACTGGGGTAATGTGACACGCCCAGGTGGGCAGCCAAAGAACACCAGCCATCTTCCCCCAACCTGGAGCCCTACTTCCCCAGGGTGTGTCAGGACTCTAGAGATGCCTCGAGTGTTTGTGCTGCTAGCACCAGACGTGCACCTTCAGCCCTGCTCACCACCCCCTTACCTCTCAGAGGTTTCAAGGGACAGGCTGGCTTTCTCCTCCTTGTGGTCACTGCCACTGCCTGACCGGTGCAGGCTCCGGCGGGAGTGTTTGCGCCGAGGTTGCTCCCGCTCTGGTGTGTCATCCTGCTCCACAGTCTCACTTTCCACATAAGGGTAGGCCACCAAGTTGATGTAACCATCACTGTCTCCCTCAAAACAGACAGACACCACGCCTGTTGAAAAAAAGGCAGCTAGTCAACAAACATCTACACAGGCTGGGTCTATGCAGCACAGACTGCTGGTACCTGCTGTCCCACAGCACATCACCTGCCTGAACCAAATGAAGATCAATGTAGGAAACAATGACCAACAGACACCTTTCCAGAACACAGCTGACCACTCACCCCGACTCAAAGTCTGCTACTTAACCTTTGACCGTGGGTAGATCGTGTATCCATTCCCCGCTCTCTTCTCTCGCCCCGGCACTTCCAATGACTGACTTCTGTACCAGCCAAACTGCGTGCACTGGAGACACCCACACCTGACAGGACTTAGCCCTCTCCTTATTTAACTGCTCTGATACTGCCACGTCCTGTGTCGGCATCTCAATCTGTTTCCTTCTGCCTGGCGGTGCCAGAGAGACATTAAGACTTCTCCCTGCAAAAGAGTCCCCAAAGTAAGTCTTCTGCCCACACTAAGCATCAGGCTATTCTAACCTCACCAGACAGAACCTCTGCTTCACCAAACTACCGGCACTCCTAAGTTGAGACACCTTTCTATTCTCTGTGCTTTACTCGGGCAGAACAGTTTATCATGTCCCATTTTTTATCAACCAGGTTGTTCGAAGTTTCTTCTGAATCATTACCAAAAGAGTTAAAACACAATACCTACAAACCTAGCTCAAGGAGTTTTTTTGTTTTTTGTTTTTAAGAAAGAAAAGAAACAAAAAGAAAGTAAGAAAGAAGCCCAGGGCACCTGGGTGGCTCAGTCGGTTGGTTAAGCATCTGACTTCAGTTCATGATCTCGGGGTCCTGGTATCAAGCCCCACGTTGCGCTCCCCGCTCAGCAGGGAGTCTGCTTGTCCCTCTCCCACTGCCCCTCCACCCATGTTCTCTCTCACATAAATAAATAAAATCTTAAAAAAAAAAGATAAAAGTCCAGGCTGCCTATAGTCTAACTTCCACATCCAACCTTCTGTCAGCTACATTTCTCTTTTCACACACTTGTGTACAAAACTGGCTCTATAATCTGAACGTAAATGAGAAGCTTTATAAATAAGTAAATATGCCAGACCAAGAATATCCTTCTCTTTGGCCCATTTCCTTCTCCAGGCAGGTACTGCCTCACTCCCTGGGCCCTTTTAGAAAAAATTCCTGAAACATGAAATTGATTCTTTTCTCTTACATTCCCACCACACTGCTCAATGTATGCTGCACTTCAGTGGGCCTCACCCCTGTACCCTGGCTGGTTTATACAGATGGCTGCCTCTCCTGCAGGTATTCACCTCTGTAACCTCCTCTCTTTGTCTTCACTAAAACCTCAACTGTTCCGGCCTGAATGCCCTCCGGTCTGCAAGCTTCTCGGTCTCCTGGGCTGCCCCTTATGCTCTGACCTAGAGGGTCCTCTAGGCCTGCCACACAGCTGTCGCGCTGACCAGCGTGAGGGCCGTTCCTTCTAACCTTCTGTGATCTTCTACTTCTCCCCACTCTTGGTTTACTCCTTATTTGAATGGAAGACATCTTCAGGTCAATTCTGAGTCCTTTGCAGGACTTTATTCTGCTCCAACACCTGACTGACTGAAGACAAAATTCTATGTAGTCTGTAAATAAAGACAGTTCTACTTCTTCCTTTCCAACTGGAATGCATTTTATTATTCACTATCTGGCCTAACCACACCGGCCAGAACCTCCAGTAACATGCTGACTAGAAGTGGACAGCATGAACACCCTTGTCTCATGCCTGATCTTAGGGGGCAAAGCAATGGTTTCGTCGTTATGATGCTAACTGGAGGTTTTTCATAGACGCCCTTAGGTTGAGGAACTGTCCTTCTAGTCCTAGTCTGCTGCTGTGGTTTTATCAAGCAAGAATGGATGCTGGAGAGGCGCCTGGGTGGCTCAGTCGGTTAACCTGAGCCTTTGGCTCAGGTCATGATCATGGGGGTCCCAGGGTCCTGGGATCAAGCCCCATATCGGGCTCCATGCTCAGCGGGGAGCCTGCTTCTCCCTCTTCCTTTACCCCTCTCCCAGCTCTCTCTCTCAAATAAATAAAAATCTTAAAAAGAAAAAAAGAATGGGGTGCCTGGGTGGCTGAGTCGTTAAGCGTCTGCCTTTGGCTCAGGTCATGATCCCAGGGTCCTGGGATCGAGCCCCGCATCGGGCTCCCTGCTCCGCGGGAAGCCTGCTTCTCCCTCTCCCACTCCCCCTGCTTGTGTTCCCGCTCTCGCTGTATCTGTCAAATAAATAAAATCTTTAAAAAAAAAAAAAAAGAATGGATACTGGATACTGTCAAATGCTTTTTCTGCATCTGCTAAGATATAGTTTTTCTTTTTTTAGATTATTATTATGGAAATTCCATTTAACTTTTGAATGTTAAACCTACCCTGCATTACTCAAGATAAACCCTACCTGGTAATGATGTATTGTCCTTTTAATATACTGTTGGACTCAATCAACTAAAATTTTATTCAAATTTTTTACATCTAGATTCAAGAGGTCCATTTATTTTCTTGTAGTGGCCTTGCGGAATGAGTTGGGACATACTCTTTAAATTTTTTGGAAGAGTTTCTGTAGAACTACTCTAAGTATTTCTTTCTTAAATATTTGGTAGAATTCATCAGTGAAGCTGTGTGGGCCTGGAGTTTTCTTCACTAGAATGCTTTAAACTCCAATCTCAATTTATTTGATAGTGCTATTCAGAGTCTCCATTTTTTCTTGAGAGTTTTCATAGTTTGTATCATTCAAGAAACCGTCTCTTTCATCTGTGTTGCAGAAGTTACTGGCATAAAGTTTTCCATAATATTCTTTTACATTTAAATATCAGGAGACTCTACTGACAACATATCTATCACTTCTGGCATTAGACGTTAATGTATTCTCCTCTTCCTCATCAGTCTAGCTAGAGATGTTCTCAAAAAATCAGCCTTTGGTCTTTGGTTTTCATTGATTTTCTTAATTTCTGCTCAATTTTCTCACTGAATTGTCTTTTTCATACAGATTTGCATTAATTTAGATATAGATATATATTCTGGAAACTAATCCTTGGTCAGTTATATGTGTTGTAAATATCTTTATCCATTTTCTTTGAAGGTGTATTTTGATAAATGTAAGTTTTAAATTTTATATGTCAAATATATCATTATCTCCTTTACGATTAGCTCTTTTATTTTTGTCTTGCAGGCTTGTCTAAAGCTATACTGGAAATCTGCCTTTCTCCTGAGGCACATACTTTTGAGTACCCTGACAGACCACAGGCAGACACAGAGCATCACATCTGCTATGGGGAGAAATGGCTGTGCTGTGGGTAGGCCAGGAAAAAGCTCTACCAAGAGTAGATGAGACTTGGTAATTAAATGAGCCATGCAATTGAACATTAGATTAAGGAAAAAATATTTTTGATTCTGACTTTTTATTTTTTTTAAAGATTTTATTTATTTGACAGAGAGAGACACAGCCAGAGAAGGAACACAAGCAGGGGGGAGTGGGAGAGGGAGAAGCAGGCCCCCCGTGGAGCAGGGAGCCCAATGTGGGGCTCGATCCCAGGACCCTGGGACCATGATCTGAGCCGAAGACAGACGCTTAACGACTGAGTGACCCAGGTGCCCCTGATTCTGACATTTTTTTTTATGTCATTACTCACACCTAGGTAGAATGCAGACGGGAAAATGAAAATCAATGGTCTTCTAATTCATCTGATATAAGTCCTAACTTCCTTGGCATTTGTAAGACTAATTTCAATAGACACTAAAGATCACATTTGATGAAGGTTTAATTTTTTAAAACACACTCTTAAAAATTATAGTAAAATATATGTAACATAAGTATCATTTTAACCATTTTTAAATGTACAATTAGTGGCACTAAGTACATTCACAATGTTGTATACGATTATCATTATCTATTTCCAGAACTTTCTCATCACCTCAAAGAAAAAAATCTGTACCCGTTAAATAATAACTCCCCCTTTCTCCCTCACCCGAACCCCAGGTAACCTCTAACCTACTTTGTCTCTACAAATAGGCCTATTGTAGATATTTCATTTAAGTGGAATCATGTCATTCTCGTCCTTTTGTGTCTGGCTTATTTCCCTTAGTATAATGTTTCCAAGAGTCACCCATGCTGTAGCCTGTATCAGAACTTCATTTCTTTTTATGGCTGAATACTATTCCACTGGAAGTATATATCATATTTGTTTATCCATTCATCTGTGATGGACACTTGGGTTGTTCCCACTTTGGGCTAATGTGAATAATGCTTCTGTGAATATTAGCTTATAAGCATCGTTTGAGGCCCTGTTTTCAATTCTTTTTTTAAGACTTTATTTATTTTGAGAGTTTTTTTTTGTTTTAAAGATCCTGTTTTTTCTTTTTTAAGATTTTATTTATTTATTTGACAGAGAGAGAGACAACTAAAGAGAAAACACAAGCAAGGGAGTGAGAGGGAGAAGCAGGCTTCCCGCTGAGCAGAGAGCCTGACGTGGGGCTCAATCCCAGGACCCTGTGATCATGACCTGAGCTGAAGGCAAACGCTTAACCGACTAAGCCACACAGGCGCCCCCCCCATCCCCCCTTTAACTTTTTGAGGAACCACCAAACTGTTTTCTGTAGTGGCTGCACCATTTGACAACACGAACTTTCCCTTTTTTTTTTAAATTGTTATAGCCATCCTAGTGGGTATGAATGGTATCTGACTGTGGTTTTGATCTCCATTTCCCTAATGATTAATGATGATGTTTCATGTGCCTATTGGACATTTGCATATCTTCTTTGGAGAAATGTTTATTCAAGTCCTTTGACCATTTTTGAACTGGGTGTTTCTTAACTCTTAACTGACAAGAGGGGAACTAGTTCTTAGAACACCCAAGCTCTTTTTTTTTTTTTTCTTTTTTAACCTCAGAACTTTTGCTTAGGCTTCAGAACATTTCTTTCCATTGCCCTTTGCCCACAGCTGCTCCTCACACTTCAGTCCTTCAAGTCTCCCCAGACATTCCTTCCCTGATCATCCTATTTGGAAGCCTT